AATTAAATAAAATGGAAAGTAGAGATATTGATAAAAGTTTTTAATATTGTTTCCTACTTATTAAATTATTTATAAATTATTTGCCTTCAATGTAAAGTTGTAATGTTTCCTACTTTAAAGTTTTATTTTTTAAAAATGTAACTGACATATTTGTAATATTATAACATATTTTATCTTACATTGTAAGTCTCTCCAATAACAATTGCAATATGCTACTACTTGTTGTATCATGCATCTTTTTCTAAAAAAGTCTAGGTAAAAACTAGACTTTTTTTTTAATGATTAACTGTTAATCTTTAAACTGTAATAAATAATATTTAAATTATTTATTACAGTTGATACAGATATAATATGGTCATATATAACTAATATATGTTAGCAACCTTATTCAACTTTTATGTATAATATATATATATATATATATATATATATATATATATATATATATATATATATATATATATATATATATATATATATATATATATATATATATATATATATATATATATATATATATATATATATATATATATATACTGATATATATCAGTTAGTTATTTTACACATTCAATATTCATTAGTTTTTTTTAACTTAAGATCATTAGATTTCATCTAGACAAATGTTTTTATTATTTTGTTAAAAAAAGTTTTTCATTTGTTTTTAAGATGATACTTTTGAGAGGTTAAGTCAGTTTTTTTTTGCAATTTATTATTATAGTATTTAGTCTTTTACTCTCAATATTCAATTATATATCTTTATTATGCTAAGTTTTTTGTGCAGATTTTTGAGCATCCACAAATTTTTTTAAAAATTGTTTATTTATATATTCCTGATTGTTTCATGCTTTTTATTGAATCATTGTTATTTTTTTTTCTACAGGTAATTTAGAACAAATTATAAGTAAGTAAAGTTTGAAATATTTTAGTTATTTAGTCATTTAAACTTTTTTTTTTTTGTAATGTTAGTGTTATAAATTAATCTTATAATAAAGTAATTTAAAGTTGGCTTTTAGGTGAATTTAGACAGCAGATTTGTAATTTTAGTAAATTTTAATAATTTCAATAGTATAGTTTAATGATAACTAAAACTAAAGATTATTACTTAATTGATACACAAGCTAAAGGTGTTTAATTTATTGATACACACCAACTAAAGATGTTGTAGCAAAATTTGTAACTTGAAATTAAGTTTATTTTAGTAAACACTATATTACTATTGTTATTACTTATTTCTTTTTAACTCTTTAGCAACACTTACTTCATTAATTGGTAAAAGATTAATGTGTATTTTTATGTGTATGCATTGAGAAATATAGTCTGATTTTGTGGATTATGCAGTATTATACTATTTAATATGTACTATGTTATTGTATATTTAATATGAACTATATATGTATATTTAATATGTAATATTTACATGTACCATTTAATCTTGTGTGTCATTGTATTATTTAATCTTTAATATCCTTGTCATTTGTTGCAGCTGGTAAGGTTTCTATATTATTAATTTGAGAGATAAAGTAATTAAATGCAAGTTCATGTAACACGTATAAATAGAGTTAGATTGCATCAGGCTAAAATTAGAGCCAATATTTCCCAAAGACAGGCATCCAAGTGCCAAAAAATCGATGAAACAGAAAAAAGTTAGAGCAAAAAAAGTTAGAGCGTTAGCTATCCAAATTGAGTTATGATGAAATTATAGGTTCATACAAAAATTTGTCTATGACCAACTTTATAATTTAGAAGATATCATGTATTGAAGAATTGTAGGCAAAACTATATCATGAATGATATGATCCTAAACATCCAAGCCTGTTTTGTATAATGGCAGAGTAGAAAAAGTATTTAGTTGAAAAAATGACTTAGTTTACACTATTTCTTACTGGAAAGATGATGAAACGTATATGGAAGCTGTTGACCATTGCATGAAAAAGACCCAGCTTGTTGCAGATGTTATTTCAGAAGAGTTACAATTTTATTAATTTTATATTATATTAATAAAACACTGTGAAAGTACAAGTTTGAAATTTAAGCTAAAAAAGTACTACAAATGAATTGCTGAAAAATACTACCAGTGTTGTGACTAGCTAAAAGAAATTTATTATTGTAATCATTCACTAAAAGCCAAGACAAAACTATATGAGATAAAAAATAAACAAACCATTATTAATTCTTTTTAATAACATTTTATTTGTTTTTTAGTTTGAAATAGCCAATGTGCTATTTGAAAGATTTAAAAATCAATAAAGGTTGGTTAATTAAATGGATATCAAAGCTGTAGAACATTGCATGAAAAAGTTTCAGCTTGTTGCAGATATTGTTTCCAGAGAGTTGACTAGATATTATTTTGTTAAAACACTGCAAACATATAAATTTGAAATTTATAGATTAAAAAACTGCAAGTACTGTGACTTGTTTTTTAAAAAAAGTACTGCTAGTGTTGTGACTTGCTAAAAAAGAGTCCTGCAAGTGTTGTGACTTGCTAAAAAAAAGTACTGCATGTGCTGTGACTTGCTAAAAATAGTACTGCAAGTGTTGTGACTTGCTAAACAAAAGTACTGCAAGTGTTGTAACTTGCTATGTATTTTTGATAGACGGCTCTGGCTTACCTTCACGCAGTGTCTATTGTTAAAAATGATTATAAAATAATTTCATAAGTATAATTTATCATTGTAATCATTCACTAAAAGCTAAGAAAAAACTTTATGAAACAAAGCATCATTAAAATAATCAAACATTATTTAGTGTTAATAACATTTTATTTATTTTTTAGTTTAAAACAGCTTAACTAAGGTTGGTAAATACCTTGTTTTGATTACCTTTTTACCACTATTGACTGATAATAGAAGTCACTCTGAATGAGAATATTCTAACCAAAAATTCTCCAATTAATCAAAAATGCTTTTTTTTAAAAAAAATGTAACTTTTACTGGGTTAGATATATTTTTTACTTCTTTGTTGTTGTTCTTTAAATAACCAATCAAATATTTCATAATTAAATTTTTTTTGCAATATTAGGGTGTGTTAAAACATGGTCAACACATTTAACATGAGTTTTACACTTACCTTCAATGTTTGCTGGTTGTCCAGTATTAATTTATAGAACCTTTTTACAGAAAAAAACTTTTAATTTATAGAACCTTTTTACAGAAAAAAACTTTTTTTTGGGACTTTAGGAAACATTGTTGTGTCATTTAAATTTTTTTGAATTTTTTTTTTTTAGGTTGGGGGGGGGGGGGGAGAGGGAGAGTTATTCGCCCCTCCCATACATCGATGTAAACACGACTTAAATTCGTAATAGTACCACCACGTAAATTCTTGTAGAACATAATTTTATATTGTATACTAATTGAATTCATTTTAGTAAAGATAAAAATATTTATGAAAACAAGTCTTTTTTGATACTAGGGTGTATCAAACCATCACCACCACACCTACCTCCAACGTTAACATACGCCTCTCATATACTCTGGTGGTTAAATATAATTTTATAACTATGTTATTGTATATTTAAAATACTTATGTCTTGAAAAAAGACTTTTTTGTGTTAAAAAAGTCTTTTTTCAAGAAAAAATGTTTAGTTTCATACGGGTAAGGTGGTGGTTTGGTGCCTCCTCTGTCCATCCGATACACCCGGTGGTTAGAGTTTAACAAAAATTTGTAGCCCACTCTTACACCTATCTTTTGACACCAAGGTATTTGTATTTTGGGCGCTTCTCGACTTTCTCCCCCCCCCCCCCTGTTTTTATGATTGATTTTTATAGAGTATATTATACTGATTCTAAATCATATAAAAACATAGGTCTGAAAACTTGAGGAAAGTACTCTAATTTGATGTTAAAGTATAAAAATCCACATTAAAAAACGCTCATATTCCACCATCTTTTTAAAAACATTTTAACACTGTTTTTAAAATTTAGGTAATTAATTTTTTAACTAACGACCCGGTTTTTATTGTTGTTTTTATATTTTATGATGTACATACATCGACTGACATAGGAATTGGCGCAACTAAATGTACATGCATCGACTGACAAATAGGAATTGGCGCGATTAAATATTCATACATCGACTGACAAATAGGGATTGGCGTAAATAAATGTACATATATCTAGTGACAAACAGGAATTGGCGCAATTAAATGTACATGATTTGGGTCAGGGTTTGGTTGGGGCAGGAAATCAATAAGAAATGCGTTTTAAATTAAAGCGTCGATAGAAACCAGGGTTTTTAAAGTTGTTATTGAAAAAGAATTTTATCGTAACCGAGTATGACAAAAATAGTGGAATATTAGCCTTTTTTTAATGTGGATTTTTATACTTTAACATCAAATTAGAGTACTTTCCTCAAGTTTTCAGACCTATGTTTTTATATGATTTAGAATCAGAATAATGTACTCTATAAAAATCAATTATAAAAACAGGGGGGGGGAGAAAGTCGAGTAGCGCCTGTATTTCGATAAGAATTAATAAAGTTATGACAATTTAAGTGAAGAAAAACATAATTATGACCACAGTTTCTTCAACAACTCCATATATCAAAAAATCGGTACTTAAACTGTCAACTTTTAAACCAATTGTTCGTTTTGGATAATTTTTTCACCTCTAAAATACTGTATTGGTCTTCTTTATAATGATATATAACAATAGAATATTTAAACAATTTGAAATTTTTACTCACGTACCTACATACACATTGCAATTCAGTAATTGGTTTACATAAATACTTCCATTATATTATTTAAGCATTTGATCCATACATAGTTCAAGTATAGTTGAGTATTGTAAGTGAATATTGAGTTATAAAAAAAGTGAACATAAGCTGTTATTAAACAAGATTTTGTTCCATTTATGATGAATATGAAATTCGAAAAAAAAGTTTATATTTTTAATGGATACAATATACATAAGTAATAAATACTTTTCTTTAATAATTTAACTTCACTAGCAATTTTAAGGGTGACTGATACAAACAAAACAAATTATATAATAGCTTACTTTCTTGTTGTATGTAGCAACAGTAAAATTATGTCTTTGTTAAACAGAATGGTAATTTATGCTGCAAAAATCATCTATAAACAGTTCATGTAATGCTGCAAAAATCATTTATAAACAGTTGATGTAACTATCACAAGCAATTTTCCAACAACAAGCTATTTATTTCCAACAACAAGCTATTTATTTCCAGCAACAAGCTATTTATTTACTTGTTATAAAAACTCACGTGCACTTGCGAACGGAAAAAAATAACATTGAAAACATAAACATAATATGTGCGCATGCGTTAAATTTCAGAAGAAATTTTTAGTCGTTTATAGAGGCTGAATATTCAGACGCAGAAGATTTACCATATATATATATATATATATATATATATATATATAATATATATATATATATATATATATATATATATATATATATATATATATATATATATATATATATATATATATATATATATATATATATATATATATATATATATATATATATATATATATATATATATATATATATATATATATATATATATATATATATATATATATATATATATATATATATATATATATATGTAATATATATATATATATATATATATATATATATATATATATATATATATATATATATATATTAAATTTTATAAATATATCTATATATTACAAATAAATATTTTTACTTTTTAAGGTTCTGATGGTAAAATCTTTAAGATAAAAAACCTAGCTTTATATTGTTAGTAAGCTGAATTGTATATATTATTAAAAGACTTATTATGATGATGTTATTATGTATCACGACTTACATTGTTAACTGAAAAAAAGAATTTTTTAATAATTAAACAACAAAAACAAATTTTTTTGTCAACAAATTTGTTTTTGTAATTTTGACTTTTGTATTATTTTAGATATTATAAATCGTAGTATATTTTTACGTTACACTTATGTAAACAGATCACATGCTTAATTTTTTGTTAAAAATAGCATATTCAGTTATAAATCACGTAAAAAATATATAAACATCATTAAACTGCCACAAAAAAAGAAGGGTAGACCTTTTCATAATATAAACATCCGAAAAACTCAAAACGAGTTTTTAAATTCCACTAGGAATTAAACTACTTATTTCACCATTTCACCATTGCAAATAATTCACAAAAACTGAAGTAAGTCAGAAACTTATGGAAAAATATATGAAGAAAAAAAGCATTAAGGTTGAGTTTGTTATTTAAATACGATCATAAATAATTACAAATAAATCTTCCTCAATTTAATTCAATGTAAATATATATAAATTGTATTTTAGCATAAATTTGTAAATCCATATTTTATACAACATACTGAGTACATCTCAATAAAGTATTTATGTTCAAATTAGTCTATTGTTGTTTATTTTTAAATTAATTTGGATAAAATAATACTGGTAAAGTATTTTTTTATTTTGTCATTATAGACAATATTGTATTCCAAACTTTCAAATTTGTAATGAGATTCATTCCATTATGAAAATAATGTAAAACTTTAACTTGAGAGTCTCATAATATACTAAAATGCTACACCTTTAAGAGAATCACCAAGATAAAGTAGCTACCTTTAAATAGTATACGATTGTATTTTTTATATAACAGCTTTGACATTTGGATTGTTTATATCATTTTTTTGTAAAACAATTAACTCGTGATCTTAAAATATATATGTATATTTGAATTAATTGAACTGCACAACGTAGATTTTCTAAAGTTTATAAATAAAAGTAAACTTAACTGAAGTTTATTTTGAAGTCTTCAGTTTAATTAAATTTTTGGCTAAATATTCAAAATATTATACTTTTAATTTAAAAATTTTAGAATACTTTAAAAAATAAGATCTATTTTTTGTAAAAAAATATTTTTAATGTTAAAACTTTCTTTTTAAAATAACAGAGAAAACTAAAGAAACAGATAAGCTTGAACGATAAAATAATTTTTTGTTTACACAAACAATACAACCTGAGCCTCAATTTGATACGAGGGTGTTTATTTATGAAAAGGTCTATTGGAAATGAAAAAAGAAGCTGAAATGAAAAAAATAATCTAAATTCATTAGATAAATTAATAATGAATAAAATATATTGTACAACAATAAAGGTTAATGTTTAATTAATGAAAAAAAAACAATATTTTATAATTTAGCTTAGGTGTGAAGAACTTTCTTTTAGTTTACAGATCTAATTCTAGCATATCAATTCTGTAGATTACTTTTGATTTAGGGGCTGTCCATTAATTACGTCAACAAATTTTTTTAAAATTTTTTCCTCCACCTCCCCCTCGTCAACAATTTGTCAAATTTCCAAAGACCCTTCCTTTAAAATTACGTCAACCTTTGATTACCCCCTCCCCCTTTTCAAAGAAACTACGCTATAAACTCAGCCTAATTTACCCTTATTTAAGTAATGAAACTCAAAAAAAAAAAGAAAAATTGTTAGCGTCAACTTTAATTGACCTCCCCTCTCCCCCATGTCAACAATTGTCAAAAAAGTTCAGACCCTCCCGCCCCCCTATTTTGTTGACGTAATTAATGGACAGCCCCTTATACGGTAAAAATAAAAATTCTCTTTTTTTATCAATTTTTTTTTTTTTTTTTTTTTTTTTTGCGATAAAGATACATACCAGAACAAATGATTAGCTGTATCCCTAGTGTTTTCTGCCAAGAAAGTTAGATGTGCAAAATTAAGTTTCGACCAAATTGAGTTTTTTTTTTACTTATTTCTGGCTTTAATAGCACTCTTAGAAAAAAAAACTATCGGATACATAAAACACCTAACAAAAGAAGCACTATGAACCATCTTAAATATATTTGTTATCTGTTTCTTTTTATCGATGTATATATATATATATATATATATATATATATATATATATATATATATATATATATATATATATATATATAAAAGATTTAACATAATGCAAAGATACAACATACAACATACTAACTTCTTAATATATAATATGCTGAAAATTTAACAAATACATTTTACATGTTAGAATTACGTAGTAGAATCTTAGAATGTTGTCCATAAAGAGAATATTTTTTAATTTAGTTTTAAAAACAGAAAGAGTAAAGAGTAAATTTTTTCAAACCAATTCCCCGATATCGAATTTGGTACGAGCTTAATTTAAGATAAATTCGGTAGGATATTTATGAGAGATTTCAAAGTAAGATTGAAATGTTACTGGAGATAACCCACATTTTGCTTTAAACATAAATAATATTACTTGATGAATATTAATTTTAAAAATGTTTAAAGCTCCAAGTTGGCTTAATAGAGATTCTCTATGTTATTATTACATATTGTTGTTATTATTATTATTTTATTAATCACCTTCTATAAAATATATTTACACGGTAAAAATGCAAACTAAGAAATAAAAAGATAAAAAAGTATCTTTTAGGAATGTTTTCTTAAAGTGTGTTTTTAAACATTGTTCGCTGTTGTTTTACATTCCAAAATTAAACTGCCTGTACCAAAATACGAATAGTAACTTCAGAAATGACATTCTCTGAGTCTTTAAGTTTTACTCTTTTATTAATCAGCATCAAGGTTTTCACATTCAGTTTAAGAATATAACATAATTCTTTTATATAATCTAAAAACAGAAAATTTAACTAAGTAGTAGTTAGGTTGGGAATTGATGATTTCAAAGGTTACTTTATTGTTTAATAGGCGGATAAATAGATTTATTTTGTTTTGCTATAAATTTTTTTGTCTATGAATTAAAAAAATATATTATTTAAAGATTAATTATTAAGAAACGGTTTTGTTCGATATAACATGGAAATACAGTTTGAGATCTTACTTTCGATATAGAATTTTCATGACAATTTTTCATTTAAATGCATTCCTAGAAAGTTTGTAGTCAACTATTATGTTATCGATTAAAAGATCGGGCAATTTAAGAGGAATATTATCGGGTTTACAAGGTATATAAAATAGGATAAAGTTTGTTTTATTTACATTTAATGAAAGTCGGTTACTTATAAACCACTGATTAATTTTAAAACACTAAAAAATGAACAATAATATTTATTTATTATTATGTAATTCGCCATAAAAAAAAATATTTACAAATTAGACTTGAAAACAATGTATACACACTTCAATTATTGCATGGTCAGTAAATGGTTTTTTTAAAAACTATATTGATTACAGTATAAAATCTTATTTGTAGTTAAATATTAATAATGTCTCTTATACATAATGCGTTCAATTAGTTTAGAAAAGCAGTGTAAGTCTGAAATAGATCTGTAGTTTGAAATATTAGTCTTAAAAGTTAATATTTGAAATATTAACTTTTGATCGTTTTTTAATTATTTTAATTAAACTTAAATGAACTGAAATGACTTAAAACGTATTACTTTTACTTTTAAAGCAAACGTCTTATCATACATTTTACAAAATTGGTTCAAAAATAAATCATAAGCATTAATTACATGGTGAGATTGTAATATAAGATTCCAATTGAAGTTCATAAAAAATCATGTTCCAATTGAAGTTCATAAAAAAATCATGTTCTCAATACATATAATTACTTAGAAATGTTTTAGTTCCAATGATAAATTAATGTTTACGCTCACATTCAAGTAATCAGCAATCAAGTAAAAATGAAAATGATTTTTTTTTTTTTTAATTAAAAAATAAAGATAATATTATTATTATAAACCACAACACTAACACCATACATAGTATAATAAAAAGAAAAGAAAAGCCTACCTCAATGACATTTAAAATATTTGTTTTATGAGAATCATAATGTTTATATGTGTACTTTACGCAACACCCAAGGTTCTCGATGATAAGATTAAACTCAGTCTACTACGAGTTCCCTACAACAGTCAAAACCCTTATCAAGTCATGCCATATTTAATTATTGCTTCCTATGTTTATCTTAACGGTATTTTGTAAAATATTAATTTTTTTTGTATTGGAAGTTTATTTTGTTTATGTTATCGCAGTGTAAAAAAATTTTGTAATTAATATGTGGTTGTAAAAATTTAAAGAAAAAAAAAGTTAAAAAAAAAAAAGTTGCTATATAGATATTTCATTGATTTGTCTTATGAATACTGCTGACTCTAAAATTATTTGTTTGAAATATTTTTTTTTTTTTTGGGGGGGGGGGGGCTACTGCCCTCCGGTTGCTACGGACCTGAACCTCTATCATGAACTACATGTTATATCTATACATAGACATATATCCAGAACTAGAAAACCTAGGAAGACCTAAATATCATGAACTAAAATGTTATACTAATGAGCGTTCTGAGTTGAATTTTTTTTAAAATGTCTGTTTTCATAGTTACAAGTTGTTAAAAATATTTATTAGAACAGGACGTTGAGGAAATTTGTAAGAAACCATAGACCGAAGAATCAAATGATAGCAGATTTGTTTATAATTTTAATAAGTTTATATTCAATAATATTGTTTATTATTAACACTAGAAGCCCCAAGGTGGATTAATTGATCCAAACACGACTTTGACACTTTGCTGAAGCTAAAATTTTAATGTTGATAAAAAGATATTTTATGACTTTTATTATTTTGATATTATTTACTGAAAAGTGGAAAAACTAAATAAAAAACACATTCAGAGATGCGGCTATAAATATTTATACCTAAAAACCCTAAGCTGGATCAATTGATTCACATTATAGAAAACATGCATATACAAAACTATTTTAGTAAAATAACTAATGTTATTTGCAATGTTTGCATATATTTGACATGCACTTTCCACAAACAGGTTTGTTACAACTTGCACATACTGTTGATGTCAGATTACGTTTGCAGTCTGTTTTTATCTGATATCTCAATCGTGTGGGTAACTGTGTATTACTGTTGGTAGCTATTGTGGTATTACTGTTGGCAGCAACTTGGGATTTTCGGTGATTTATATTTGCTTCTCTTAACTGCTCAGATAAAGTGTAAAGGAACCTTCGTCTCGAAATTTTTTGTTGTGTAACTTTTTTAAAAATGATCCGCACGTTTACACCGGTCAAGTCCAAAATATTGAAGAAAACAGCTAACGGCCAGCGTCTGCACCCAGATTTTGTTGACATTTGTTGACACATTGAATCTAACATATCAACTCCACATTTATTCGCATTGTAATAAAGTACTGCCTCTGGTTTTTTCTTCCCATCGCTTTGCTCAGTTACCTCTCTATGTAGTGTTAATAATAAAATTACAGTTTTCTTCTTCTTTGCCTGGTAGACAATCAAGTTCAATGGTCCATTTATGTAGAAAGTTGAATCGTAAAGTGGAAGTGGATCAAATGCTGGAATTTCTTTTCTACTATGTTTAACTGTTCCAACTATTGACGTTTTCTTTTGCAAAAGTTTTGTTGCAAGATCGACACTTGTAAAAAAGTTATCTGTAGTAACATTATACCCGCGGCCTAAATATGGTTCTATTAGTGACATGACCACATGAGTACCCAAATTTTCTACACGGTTTTCATCTTTACCAAGATACGGTTTGATACTAAGACAATATTTAGTTTTTAAATCAGCTAAAATCCAGAATTTGATTTCAAACTCGTCCGGTTTATTAGGCATATACTGAGTAAAGCGACACCGAGCTTTAGTTGGGAACAACTGCTCATCAATTATTAAAGATGCCTCAGGTATATAGCATTTTTGACTATTTTCTACAAATCTTGTCAGCACCCATGGCATAAGAAAAATTTATCACTTCGGAGGAGCTCTCTACGTTCTAAACGTATATCAAATCTAATATTTTTCATAATGTCTTCAAACCGAGAACGCGGCATAGTTTCTGCAAAAGCTTTGTTGCCATATTTTTCAGACCATAGGAATTTAACTGGAAAATTTCTTGCGTTCATACATCCACGAAGATATATTAGGCCTATGAAAGCATCAAGTTCAATGTCGCTTATATTCCATCCTTAATTTGATAAATTGGCAGATAAAACAGTACATTTTTTGATAAAACGTGTAAAGCCTTTATCCATAATTAGTCTAAATGCGTCAATAGGTGTCAAAACATTACGACAATAAGAAGTTGTTCCGCTTTTGGCAGTAAACACATTCTGAGCTTGGAATCTTCCTGTTACCTCAACTGTTGACGCAATAGTCTATTTTACATCATCTCTACGAGTTTTAACAGTTACACCATTATTCCCACCGCATGAGTTTTCTTCTACATCATCTACTTTCTACTTTCTACTAGCTACTACTTTCCGAATTGTAAATATAAGTATTACTTTCATCGTCATCAGAAAGATTATCTTCAACAACATCTGCCTTTTCATTTTCGCGTGCTGAATCTGATTCATCACCACTGTCCATTTCTGAGAGTTCTTGTAATATAAATAAACACTGTTGCGCCGACACACGTTTTGGACGTTGGTATGTAACTGATTGGTCAATTGAATGAGAATGTTCTGCAACAGAGGTTTTTGATGATGAAGCACCATCAGTGTTTGCTGAACTTATGCGTTTCATTAAAATATTAATAACTTTTATGATACTTAATATATAATTGCTACAGGCCAATAGATTATAAGTTTCATAGTCTAAAGCAGCAATATTAGTGTACTTGTGGTGGCAGCATATTTATAACAAAGATGCGGAAACAATACTTTATTTTATTCGCTAATATTTTTATTTTATTTCTTTTTTTTATTTTTATTTAAGTAATCTGTATAAATAAGCTAGAGTAATCCAGATTTAGGCAAATCATGCTATTAAACTTTTGCTTAGAGTAAAACGCGCCGTATTTTGGGCATAAAATTTATGTATATATATGTAGGGTGAAAGAAATTTATATATTTTATATACTTTACATCAAAATTAAAAGTTTTAACTGTTAGTTTCATACATTTAAACAAAAAAAAAAAAGTCTAAATGCATATAAATATTAGGTTGGATCAATTGATCCACTTTGGGGTTTCTAGGTATATAAAGAACCTGGGGTTTCTAGTGTTAAATCGTGTCTATGATATAGTTTGTAAAATTTTATTAAAAATCAGCGCTTACTGTTTCTTGAATAAAATTATCCGGACATATGTAGTTTTCTGGATAATTCAGGAATTAGTCCGGAAAAATATTAAGGTGGTTCCTACATAATCAAAAGTCAAAATTTTTTCAAAAATTGGCAAATTAGATATTCTATATTTGGCAAATTAGATATTCTAATGTAAAATTTAGCGCTCTTTCTCGTGGTTTAATTTTTTTTTAAGTTTGTTTATGCTTTTTACAATATTTACAATTTTATACAGGCAGGTATAATTTTAGTATTTTAGTGCCTAGCAACGGCCATAGCAACCGTTTTTTTTTTTTTAGTTATTATCTTAAATGAACTTTAAAGCTTAAAGTAGTTGCTATTCTAATGTTGCCTTGTACGTCCAAGTTGTTAAATATTTAATCATTATAAGTGAAGCTGTTGCAGAGTGCAAACAGCAGGCAGGCTTTTTTATAATTATTTTTTTACTTTTTACTGTTTTCTAATGTGTTTGTTGAAATTATTTAACATTTTAGTTAGATTCTAGTAAAATAATAAATATTTAATATAGCTAACCTTTGAAATAACAAAAGAAAGTCGTCAAGAAAGGGTGTCCTTTTTGTTGTTGTTAGCGCTGCTATGTCTTCAATTTAGATCTTATTTTTCTTGATATTAGTTTTGTTTTCAGTTTTACGTCTATCAGCTACGGTAATAAACTACCAACTCCTTAAAAAAAAATTATTTACTTATCGAATATGTTATTATGTAGGTTTTGAGCCAGAAATCTAAGCACTACGCCATGTCTGAAAAGCGACGGTAGCGTTGCGGTATGTCAAATTTTATAAATAAATTAAAAAAAAAAAGAAAAAGAAAGATAAAGAAAAAAGAATAACATAAAAAAAATAAAATAAAAATTTTGAGAATGAAGAAAAGAAAGAAAAAAAGAAAAAAACTAAAAAAAAATTAAAAAAACAAATCAAACAAATTAACAAAAGAAAAAAGAAACGAGAAAAGAAAAAGGAAAAAAAAATCCAAAGTTAAAAAAAAAAAAAACATTCGACAATGGAAAGGAATCAAAAAGAAATTAAAATAAAATATAAAAACTGCTTTTTTTTTGAAGAAAAAAAAGAAGAATATTTTTTATATTTTATTATTTTTGAGTGACAATATGTGTTTGCTTGATATGATTTACTTTTTTATTTTAATATTGTTATTTATTAAGAAAACTATACTTTTCGTGACTTAATGTTTGTGTGTGTGACACGTTTTTGTTTGTGATTATTATTGAATAATTTTTGTTTTGTTTATTTATTGTTATTTTTTAATGAAATATTCATTTTACTTTTATTGTTTTTATTATGATTATTGATATTAAGAGGGAGGAGAAACTTATTTATAAGGAGGATTTTAGTTTTAAAAACAAATTTTTCCTCTTGTTTTTTGTGTTTCTACGATATCGTTTTTCAAGAAAATTGTCTCACAAAAAACATCATAACTTTTGAATTAATAGTGGTAATTACTTGAAATTTTCAGGGCTTATTTATCAAGTGTACTGCTATTGCCTGAGTTTTTTTTCAAATAAATTTATTATTTGTAAGTTGTGGTTAGGGAACTAAGATCAGAGGCCTAGTAGCAGATTTTTTAAAAATACAGTTGTTTTGAAGCATAACTTTTAGTAGATACAGGATCTTTTAATAAAAAAAACTTACGCACTAGATACAGGTAACACGCACAAGTATACCAAGTTTAAAAGTAAAATGAGCTTTTACTCATAAGTAATTGTGTTTCTAGTAAACTCTATTTTTAGGGGTTATTTTGACTATTATAGGCCCCTATGTGATCATCTATATATTTTAGGAGTTCGAAAATATATATTTTTTTACACATTCTGTACCTACTTTTGAAAAAATTAATGCTTAATGAATAGAAAGTAACTTTTTTGGATTGCATAGGAACCACCTTAATATATTAAGTACTTCTTTATTTAAAAGCATATTTCCTCATTTTGCATTAGAGCGACGTATTATGCGCCGTTGCCGCCTAAATGTAAAAAAAATTTAAATGGAAAAATAAAGAGCAAATTAAAATATAAAATAAATCTCCACATTTTTTTGTTTTGAGATAAAACGATCTAAAAAATAAAAATTTTAGGAGACGGCATATAAAAAGATTTTTATTACTTATGTTTTCTCCGAAACTTTTTGGATTTTAACTTAGGCTTTAATATAGTAGAAAAATATTACTTTGAGGTAAATGAGACATTCGATAATTCGATTTTTTAAAAAAGTGGAGATAACAAAATGTGGCGAACAAAATAATTTTAACCTCGCGATATGTTAAAAATAAAATAATGCCTAACGCAAAATTATCTCCAGCTAAAAGCTCAGACATAAAGCAATCTCTAACACTAAACGTACATATCATTTAGTATATACCCTACCAAGGCTTTTCGTTTTACTTTCAAAACATTTTTCAAACTATTTTTGGGCAAGTCATTGTAGCGGGTAGTGTAATCAATTCTTTAAACCAATGTGTCACTCGCAAAACTCAAAATTGTTACAACAGTTAACTAGTTTCTTGATTGGTTTTTATGATTTTTAAATGCCTGAACTCTTCTTTAGCTGTATTATTACTTTCAGACAGAGAAAATAAAACGTCAACGCAGATCCGTAATTTAGGAACTTTTGAAACATCAAAAACAGTCTTTGTAAAAATGACTTTGTTCCAAAGAGTTTCCTCCATCATTGCCATTAAAGTAGACTTGGTTTCCACAACAAAATGCATCTATTTCTTACAAACTTAGATCCCTCCACTCGGTCTGTAGTTGGGTTAAAGCGCATTGTGTGTTTAAACTTTGAAAACATCAGAAGTGCAAAAAGTTTGTCTAAGGATGTACTTTGACTAGTCCATGTAGATGAATTTAATGAAATTGCAAATGTCAAAAATGTTTTTCATAAAGCCCTCGATGACACCTCGATGACAATTATCAAAATGCCTATATAAATGGTGAGAAACTACAGGAACAGGCGTAGACGGACCAAGTACAATCATGGGATTGTTTTCTTCTTCAAGTAAAGACGCCACAAATGCATTGACAAAATCTAGATTAGATTAGTATTCCACACTGAGATTAGCATTTAAAATGCAAAAAACTATTTTCTAAGCTACTTCATTTAAATGAGTTCCATGACCGCATGTATCCCTCGATTCTAAATAACCATTCTATTGGGGTAGATGGAGTGCCTTGTGACAAAGTTAATGTGTAGATTTGTCAATGACTATGCAACTCCATCTTGAACCTCCACCATGTTCAGTAGCTCAACCATGAGACAACAAGATTAACGTCCTTATAATCGTGGTAGTAAATCCTTATAGATTACAATGTCTTTTGCAAAATACTTTTTATAAGTTGAAAAAGTATTTCGTACAAATTCAACAATGCTATTTTTTTTGTCTTGTGCAAGACATTTGGTTGGTTTTCTCATAATGCTTTTTTTTTAAATCTTTTTTGCCGTATAATAGTTATAATAAGATAGTCTGCATATATAATAAATGGCCGAAGCAAAAAGAAGAAATAAAGTCTTAACACCGAGTTCCGTTGTTGCCGTCAGTTTATATTATAATAAAAGGTAAAATACAAAAGTGTTAAATACAGATATTACAAATGTATAATAAATAAGATATGAATAAAAAATAGAATAAGATTTTTATCTTATTAACAAAAATCTTAAATAAAGACAAATAATAAGTTAATGGTAATTACTTTTTACCAGTTTATTAATTCCAATTACTTTTTTGAAAGAAATATTTAAAGTCGAATTTTTTTTTTCTATTAATCTATTTAGCCGTAAAAATATTTACATGTTCTGCGTTTTATAACATATCGTCAACCTGGAATACGTGTGTCGTATACGACACTGTGTTTAAATTGAGAAATTTGCATTCAAAGTTTTAAGTAAAAAATCTTTTTATGTAAATTTAATTACATGTTGAATTTCAACAAAGTTGAATAAAATCAGTGTAAGTTTTTGTGTAAATTGTTAAAAATAAAAAGATAAAAAAATTCACCTGTAACTAAGAGCTCTGTTTTTCAAATACGACAAATGTATTTCGAAAACAGAACATTTTGTCGGAATGCAATTGTCATAGATACAGTTAATTTGATGGTAGGTGAATTAAGATGCAATTGTACGAATAAAATGTGGGAGGGGGGTGGGTGAATTCTCAATAAGTACCGACTAACTTCTAAAAAAAAAAGGTCCTCAAAACGAAAACTTAACCGACTGAAATGTGTCAAATACCCGACTAGCCGACTAAATTTGTGAAAAAACCAACTATAACTTAGAAGTCACATTCTTTTAGGAAGAGGGTGTAACACCTATCCCCCTTCCCCCCCCCCCTTTATATTGCTCTGGGTGAATTAACGCTAAATTTACTTATGTTGCAACTAACAATGACTTATAACTTTAGAATAATTTTAGTTTCGCTGTCCATTGGATTTTTTTTTTTTTAATTCATTCCCGGTAACCAATTTATCGGCATTATATTTAGAAATATTCAGTTTTTAATCTTTAAGCTTTTTATATAGAAATTAATAAGCTTCTTATACCAATATATTTACTAATAAATTGAGTATGATGTAAGGTATCACCAACTCAATTTATAAATAACTAAATAATCACAATTTTTCTCTTTTTTTACATTACACAATTTTATTTAACATTATTTATTTTCGAATAATTAAAAATAAAATAACTAATTTATCACACATATCTTTTAATTTGCTAGTGAAAAATTATACAAATAAGTTAAACCTTAAATATAGTTAAACCTTAAATATAATATAATAAAAAAACATCATTTCCATTATTGTACCTTTTTTTTACAATAAACAAAAAAATATATACAATGTTTTTTAAAACATTTTACAAAGTGATATATGTATTTGTTCATACTTTGTAACTTAAAAAGAGTATTGTAAAATTTAAGATTATCACCAACATAATATTTTAACATTGATACAAGGTCATTAATTTTTTATCTGAGAGCAGATTTAATATGAAAAGGTAGACATGATACATTAGTTTTACCTTTACAAAAAGCACTTTATGGAAATATAAAGACTTGGAAACAAGTTTGAAGTTTTTGAAATCATCTTTGTACATATGTACGACTTTCAATTCTATTCCAGAAGTTTTTTCAATAGGTGACAGTAATTTAAATAAAGTAGGAGGACTGTAAATTTCAAAATCTCTTAATTTTTTCTCAATCACACCATGCCCAGTGACAATATTCTGTACTGAACTATTACCAGGTTCACACAGGGCCGACGACACTGGGGTGGGGGTGGGGGGAAGGCGGAGGAGGGGGTGGGGGCAGGAAGCACGTGCACCTCTCCCACATCCTTTTTTTTAAAAGGACCTTTTTTTTTTATAAGAACAATCTTGATATTGAGGACTTTTTTCACAAATTGATGATTGTGCCCTCCCCCACTTCAAAACCCGTGTTGTCGGCTCTGTCACGTACTTCTGTTTAATGAGTGATATTCCGCTTTCATTTTAAAATTTTTTATTACCATAGACACAATTGAGTTCTTTTTCAAGGGAAGCACAAGAATATGACCACAAAGTAATTTGATTAGTTGATATGAGGACAATCTTGAATAATTAATTTTAATAGTTTATACAGACAACTTGCATATTCATTTGCTTCTCTACCAGCCATAGATTCACTAAAAACTTCAAAAAATTTTAGTTTACACACTAATTAACAAGTTTCTCCTACTTTTCTCTCTTGTCTCTCATGGCCATTTCTATCTATGTAGGCCTTGCCACACTGCCTTTGCATTTTTCTGACATTTATTTTTCACTTGTTAACACTTCTTTGACTTTTTTTTATGAGTTTTCTGCAAAATATAATTAAAGTAAAAATAAGTCTATTGTATTGGAAACTATTTATGTAACTGCTAATAAAAAATAAAAAATTTAATGCTATTAAAACTGTAATTTAGAATATTATAAAAAAACAATGCATAAATACAGTTGATGTAAAAATAAATGAAAGGTAATGATAATAAAAGAAATTTAAAGAACTTATTTAGAATGTAAAAATAATGATCTCTTTGAAACTATTCGAGCACAAGACGTATTCTAATAAAATTTTTGTACACAAGTATTTTATATTTTCTTTTCATTGTTAGGAGAAATGGTAGTAGAAGAAAAAGATGAATTAGTAGGGTCTTCCATTACATATACAGGAGTTTCTTCCAATACTATTGATATCGAATTATTAGCTTCAGAAGCTGTAAAATATTATACATCTGTTATAAAATATTCCTTATTTGTTACTTATCTTTTAAAAAAATACGATATATTTATAAATACTGTTTAGTTCTTTTGATTGCGAGTAATAATTTTTATTTACTGAACATTTCAATTCAATTCAAAGAAGAAAATACAATTTAATGTTAAAAAAAAAATTAAATATATCACTTTTTATTTACAAAAACATGTTAAAAAGGTAATAAGTGAATGAACATACGAATCGCTATCTCGAAAAAAGGGAAAAAAGTTTCACATTTTTTTCAAAATAGAGATTTTTATTTTATTGTCAAGTATTTTTGTAAGCCAGTGGTTCCCAACCTTTTCTAACCCATTCCCCAAATTATAATTCATAAAATCTTCATGGACCCCTTCTATTTTAAAAATTCTTATAAGGTGAAAATTTTAATAATGTAATTATTACTCAATAGGATAATATTTTATTTAAGGTATTTTAGAATAGACTACACTATCAATGAAAAACAGTTATTTTATCTTAGTTGATATATAATACAAACCAAGTTAATGTAAATTCTGGCACTGCTTGCCAGCAATTAATTTTTGAAAATTTAGCTTAGTTTTTAATGGACGTCTAATGTCTGCATCAATATCGAGTCTATTTCTTTTCTTAGTTTTAAGAGATAACGTTGCTGAAAACCTTTCTTCACACAAATATGATGTAGAAAAAGGATTAAGGGCTTTAAGTGCAATTGAAAAACACAATGGATATGAGTTCCTCATTTTTAACCAGAACATATTTAATGATGTTGTTTTGAAGTGATCCTTAGCCGTGGTATCATTCTTTAACTCTATAAATTCTTCTTGTGCTTTCTATTTCACATTTTTTGCATCATAAGAAAATGGTAATAATAAATTCACTGCTCAAAAGATTCACATCTGGAAATAAATGCTTTCAGTTTATCAGAGTGTGTAATAAGATTAGCATTTTTACTTGCGAGTTGGCAATTTAACTTATTAAAATGACCCACAATGTCTTCAAGGTAAGCAGTTGTTATTTCAAAATTGTCAAATTCAAAATATTTTACCAGTTCATTTTTCATTTGAAATAAAAATTCTTTCACTTCGTTCTTTCACATTCTTTCACATTCTTTCATATTCACTTCATTCTTTCACATTCTTCATTCTTTCACATTCTTTCATACATGAAAATTCTTTCACTTTATTTCTAAGGCTAAAAAATCTTTTCAAAAAATTTCCAGCAGATGTTTCTAGGTCAGAGCAATATTTTGTAAAAAGTTGAGTGTTGAGAGCAGAAGATTTTATATGATTTACCAATTTGACTAATTAATTAAATACAGCTTTCAAACTACTTAGTAAAGTTTTTGTTGCCAAAGCCTGTCTATGAAGAAATCAGTGTACACCAACTACATTTAGAGCAATCTCTTTTACTCTAATCTGCAATCCATACTTATAACCCATCATAGCAATATTTCAATTGTAAACATATAAATATTTCAATTGTAATTGATTGTGATTAAAAAACTGTTTTAGAAGTTCTATAATATCAGCTGCTTTTGTTGTTGTTTTAAGGAAAGAAGAGAACAAAAATTCTTCTTTGAATTTGTTATTGTGAATATACATACAAAATACATACAATTAATTGTGCCATTGAACTTACATCTGTGGACTCATCCAACTGAATAGAAAAATATGGTGCCTTAACCTTATAAAATGCTTCTACAATATTCTGTTGATTTTAGTTAACAATCCCAGTTTTATCCAACTTACATCTTTTTAGTGATTCAAATTTTCTTTTGAAAAAATCAATATCTTTATTTCGAAGATCAGGACGATACTTATTCAAGTAAATAGCAAGCTTTGAGGGTTTCATTGAGTCATTTTCTAGTACTTTATAACAAATAACACACTGTGGGTAGCTAATAGTTTCTTTAAGCATGTAGGTAAAACCATATCTCATGTTCATCTAAATATGACCTCTTTTTATTTTTACACATCTAAAGTTTTAAAAAAATAATATAAAACTTGTCTATAATGTAAATATTCAATTAAGATAAGAGTAGTATACTATCAAACTTTCATAGAAAATAACACAAGTTACTTTCTTTCAAACAAATCAGTTAGTAAAAAAAACTTTTACCATAAGAAAAGATGAAAGAATTATGATATAATATGGCATAATCTATTGCGGACCATTAAGAAGTAATAAATGCATTATTAATTCGTAGTGGTCCGCAAGTGCTCAACGGTTAAAATTGAATCTGTTAACACAGATTTTGTGTTTTCTTAGATAAATTACATTTTTAATTTAAGATTTAACTTGTTTCTTTAAACAGAAAAAAGATCAAAATTAAAATGCATTAACCAAAAAAATATTTAAAATTTACTTTTACCTTATGGTCCGCCTAAAAAGTTCTCATGGACCCCCAGAGGTCTATGCACCACTGATTGGGAACCACTGCTGTAAGCGCATGTTTAGAAAAAAAAGGAAACATCTTGCTTATATTTAAACATGTTAATCGGCAAGGTGAAAATATCGTTTACTGTAAAAAAGAGATATGTTCAGGATATGTCCTGTTTTGAAAGTAAAAATCCCAGTTGTTATCTGCCAAATATGTCTGAGACATTTTTTAACTATATAAATATATCAGGCATTTTCTATCGACATTTTTTTTGACATAATTTTGTCTAAATGTTAGACATATTTTTTTAACTTACTTTGGAATTTTATGCCTGGAGTGTTTAATGCAGATATATAATCTAAACATAAACTTAAAAAAATTAGCTTAAATTTAAACGAAAAAAAAATGATGAAAAAAGCTTTGAAGTTCTTAATTCCGACCTTATTTTATGATCTCATATATACATTAAAATTAAGTGGCAATTAAGAATATATTGGCCGTACAAAAAATTGTTGTTGTCTTTTTCTTACACACACAGATTAGATATTGGCTGTTCATATACAACATTCAAAATGTTCTATATGAACAGTACCGTGTCCCAGCCCCTTCTTTTTAAAAATAATTTTCTATTTGGTATTATTAAAAAACTCCTTAAATTCGTTCGTAGCCTCACTCTCCAATTGAGGTGTGTCAAGTTGCCTAGGCATATTCTGTATATGTATCTAGGTGCATAAATATTTAAATAATTTAAAGAAAACAATTTAAAAAAAAAATTTCTAAAGTAAGAATATCTCACAATTTGAATGTTAGCAAAAGCAAAAAATAAATTACATCTTTTTTGGGCTTATCATTTGCAGGTAGGACCTCCATGTCTCTATATACTATATATATGCCCCACCCCTTAATTGGTATTTTATTTTCTTATACAGTTGTGTGACAATTTATTATGGCCACAAATGAATTTTGATCATTTTGAAGTTTAATCTCATTCTTTATATATGAAGAGTGAAAATTCATTATTGAAAGTTTATCTTTTGTTTAAAATAAAGTTTTAATTCATAAAATCAGTGCTTTTTTTTTGCTACTGGCAACATTGCCACTTTTGACAGCCATTTTGTATGATGTCATCTTAATTATAATCTTTTTGCTGTGCACTTGGTAAGTTTTATTACCAGAGATTTGAATTATCGTTGGTTATCATCAAAATATTTATTTAAATCAGTAAAAATATTGTTTCATGAATATTTCTTTTCATTTTAAAGTAAAAATAATTGTATATACGATTTGATATTTTTAAAGTTATGAGTATCTAAGTTGTCTTATATCGGTAAGCTAAGCAAACAAATGGCAGACAATTTAGTGCGTTAGTTTAGGTCTTTTTTTCAATTTTATATAAGATCACTTTTTATTACTTATTTTTTGCTACCAAGGACATGTGTGTTTATAGATAAATATAGGATATGTTGAATATAATGATTTAATCCTTTTGGCAATCTACTTAAATGATCAAGTTCATTTTTAAATTGTTTATATATATATATATATATATATATATATATATATATATATACGCACACACAATTTTATTCTTATGGTCCTTTAGATTAAAAGTCCCTGGCCCGCGGCATTGTCGGGCTTACCTAACTACAATCCTGTATGTGTGCATGTATAACTCCAAACTTGTCAGTCAATGTATGTACAATTTTCTGCAATTAAATATACCAATCAGTTGATGTATTATGTATCGATAGATAAAAGTATAAAAAAAAATCTCTGTATAAAAAGAAACCAAAAGCATAGAGTGAAAAACAGTTTAATGAAACCGATTTAAAATGTCTCTTCACAATTGAACAAAATTCTTATTTTGTTAAGTCTGATATTTTTTCATTGTACGGAAATTTACAAAACTGAGAACTTGATAGGTTGTAAAGAAGTAAAGGAACAACATTTTTATTTGAGTAAGAATTTAAGATTTTTTTCTATAATTAAAATGGGTACAAGTTATGCTTATAAATTTTAAAACAAATCTTGATATTGTAACATAGACCAATATTAGCATTGTTTATTTTGAATGTTTTTCGGGTACTAGGATGGAAAAAAATTGTTCTGATGAGGGTAAGTAAGCTCCTTCTGTATGAAAGTAAGCTGGTGAGCTACTATATCCTTGTCCTAAAACTGAACTGAGATTTTCATGCTTTCCGTTAGAAGTTTCATCGACTCACCAATACATTTCATTGCATCAGAAATAGTTTGATTTGATTTTTTTTAGCATTAACAACTTTTTTACGTAGTTCTATATCATCTTTTGCTTCTTTTAATAGCAAAGCATCACGTTGGTTAGCTCTTAATTTTTTTAAAATATGTTTTCTTTTTTAATCAATCATTATTGGTAAGTCTGCTTCATTTTTTCTTTTCTTACAAGATAATGAAGTACTGGTAAAATCAACATTGTTTTTATCAATATCAGTTTCTTTTTCCACTGAACTATTATCTATCAACTTTTCATTCGGTGAAGATAAATTATTGTTCACTAAAGTCGTATCAATTCTTGAACTTAAAGATTTTATCAATGTTGAGCCACTGTATATTTCTGTATATTTCTCGTAACAAATCAAAGTGCTCTAAAATAATTCTGCCTCTACCGCTTTGACTTCCTTTTAATACTGATGTGATAAATTTTTGTCTTATTTCTTTTACCTTTTCAATGATTTGATGGTAGCCAACTTTTACTAATATGCTTTTTTTTTGATATCTTCTTTTATTTTAAGAATTTCATTTTCTAACCTTCATTTGTGCATATTAGACTTGGAGCACATGTTGGTCCAAAGAAGTTAACAAACTTATTTTTATATTTACCATCCATTTCTTCTTGTAAAAAAGTGTACTGCGCAGGTCTATCACTATCAAAGTCTTTTCCAATATATTCCATATTTGATTTGTATAGTTTTAGACGTTTTAATATATCAATTACCATTTCATCATTCCGTCTAAATAATTTTTTATTTGAACACGCGGCCATTTTTAAAATTATCGAGTTGTATCAACCCATGCGTGTTAGAAGTAAATCAATTCGTTTAGGCGAGATAATACAATTATGAGAAATAAATATCTTTTTCAAACGAGTTTTCTTGTTGTCAAAGCAGGACTCACGGCGGAGAAATTATCTTGGTATGTCGGGACGCGATAAAAAAAATTAATGTAATCCTATAATCAGGTCTTTATAGTACTAGATAAATTTTTATAATATATGAAACATGTACTTATTTCAAATAACTATGAATAAAAATTTCTTAGATTGAAGGCAAACAAAAAGCCTATAAAACGTCATCCTCTTTCAAACTGCTTTGAACTCATTTAAAAAAAAATTGTTTCTTTATTGCTGTGACTTCCAACCCATTTTAATTAATAAACACTCATAAATTTATTATTTTGGTTAAATAGAGTAATAATATATCGATTTTTACCGAATTGTTTCAATTAAAACTGATAATGTTAACCAAAGATATACATAACCTATTAACTATATCACTAAAATTATCAAGAACAAGGATTGGAAAAATCTCAGAATATTTATATTACAGAATTCAAGATTTTTATGTTTTGACTATAATTGTACTGGGATTAACAAATTTATCTGTACAAACCTATTGTAGTAATGTTTGAACACTCATATTGTACAAACATTATTGAATAAACATTTTATGTGCAAGTGGTCACGACGAGAAACGTGTTAGTTATCACGTAGTAATTTATGCGAACGTTTTAGTGATCACTGTAATTATTAGGGATTATCAAGAGAAAATATAACTTTGTTTATATTTAAATTTCGTGACTATATTAATTGTGATTTTCATGTAAGTTAAACTTAGTATAAAGTTCTTGTGATAAATTAAATGAATTAAAATCTCTAACAGTTAAAACGATATAAATAACGTACAATCTACATGACAACGTAGCCTTTGACGCAAACTAAATTTTGATTCAGATATTCCTAATAATATATGCAGTATGATAATATATGCAATTTGATAATATATGCAATAACTTGAATGACAATAAATGAATCGACATCAAAAAGCTAACATTTTACAAAAAATTAACATCTAAAGTTGTTAATTTTAACATTGTTGTCATATCCGACCATTTTTTAATTGATAACACTTTATTAATTTAGTTATAATACTTCTTTATCTAAAAATTCCAAACTTTTTCAATTTTAAACTGTAATTATAAAAAGTTAACAGTGTTCTTCTTTTGAATATTTATATGTAATAATTGTAAGTTATTGACTCATAATGAATACTACCGGTTTTTGCATTTAATCTGGTAGCTTTTTGCACGAATCTGATCGTTTTTTTTGTTTGATCTAGCGGTTTTTTGCATTTTATCGAGCGGTTTTTTGCATTTAATTTTAGAATTTATATCAACTTTATAACGCATGCAGTGGCGTAGCTACCATATAGCAAAGTAAGAAAATGCCTCAGGACCCAAGAGTTTAAAGGGGCCCTCTTAGCTTTGGCCACAGCACACAGCCGCTTTTATTTTCAATTTTATATAA